TCGTAGTGAGTGATTTTCGTATGCAAGTTCGGTACTAGTCCCTCTAGGATTTTCCAGGTGTATATAATCATGTATCTCTCCCGCCTGCGTTCCAGGGAATACAGGTTCAGGAACCTCAAGCGCTCCCAGTAATTGAGGTGTTTTATCTCCGTTATGCGCGCCGTGAAGGTTCTCTGTACATTTTCTAGGTCAGCAATTTCACCTGCCTTGAAAGGTGCTGTTAGTGTGCAGCAATATTCCAGCCTAGATAGAACAAGTGACCTGAAGAGTGTCATCATGGGCTTGGCCTCCCTAGTTTTGAAGGTTCTCATTATCCATCCTGTCATTTTTCTAGCAGATGCGATTGATACAATGTTATGGTCCTTGAAGGTGAGATCCTCCGACATGATCACTCCCAGGTCTTTGACGTTGGTGTTTCGCTCTATTTTGTGGCCAGAATTTGTTTTGTACTCTGATGAAGATTTAATTTCCTCGTTTTTACCATATCTGAGTAATTGAAATTTCTCATCGTTGAACTTCATATTGTTTTCTGCAGCCCACTGAAGGATTTGGTTGATGTTCGCCTGGAGCCTTGCAGTGTCTGCAATGGAAGACTCTGTCATGCAGATTCGGGTGTCATCTGCAAAGGAAGACACGGTGCTGTGGCTGACATCCTTGTCTATGTCGGATATGAGGATGAGGAACAAGATGGGAGCGAGTACTGTGCCTTGTGGAACAGAGCTTTTCACCGTAGCTGCCTCGGACTTTACTCTGTTGACGACTACTCTGTGTTCTGTTAGTGAGGAAATAGATCCATCGACCGACTTTTCCTGTTGTTCCTTTAGCACGCATTTTGTGCGCTATTACGCCATGGTCACACTTGTCGAAGGCTTTTGCAAAGTCTGTATATATTACATCTGCATTCTTTTTGTCTTCTAGTGCATCTAGGACCTTGTCGTAGTGATCCAATAGTTGAGACAGACAGGAGCGACCTGTTCTAAACCCATGTTGCCCTGGGTTGTGTAACTGATGGGTTTCTAGATGGGTGGTGATTTTGCTTCTTAGGACCCTTTCAAAGATTTTTATGATATGGGATGTTAGTGCTATCGGTCTGTAGTTCTTTGCTGTTGCTTTACTGCCCCCTTTGTGGAGTGGGGCTATGTCTGTTGTTTTTAGTAACTGTGGGACGACCCCCGTGTCCATGCTTCCTCTCCATAGGATGGAAAAGGCTCGTGATAGGGGCTTCTTGCAGTTCTTGATGAACACGGAGTTCCATTACCTGGAGTTTACCTGGAGAGAGTTCCGGGGGTCAACGCCCCCGCGGCCCGGTCTGTGACCAGGCCTCCTGGTGGATCAGAGCCTGATCAACCAGGCTGTTGCTGCTGGCTGCTATGAGTCTGGCCCTGGGGCAGAGTGCATGGACATGTCATTTATCGCATGTTCGAAGTCATTTGGCGTCAGGATAACATCGGATAGGCTTGTGTTAACCAAATTCTGTGGCTCTCTCATAAAAAATTAATTTTGATCTTCGACTCTCAGTCTGGTTAGCGGCTTGATGAAAACTGATTCATATTGGGACTTTAGTAGCTCACTCATTTCCTTGCTGTCATCTGTGTAGGACCCATCTTGTTTAAGTAGGGGCCCAATACTTTGATTTGGCATAGAAGAAATACTTTGGGTTTCTTTCGATTTCATTTATGGCTTTTAGTTCTTCCCGCGATTCCTGAGTGTGTTTTCCAGGTATTTTTGATATAGCCTCTTATTTCTTGGAACTTGTGGCATAATTCAGTCATGGCAACAGGTGATTCGGGCATTTAGAGAGGATGGAACAAAGCAGAATGACTTGGAGTATAAATCTGTAGTGGAAGGACAGCGGGGTTGGGGCCGGCCAAGGAAAGGTTGGAGGGAGGGGGTAAACAAGGTTTGGTGTGCGAGGGGCTTAGATATCCAGCACGGGTGAGCATATTAGATAGGTTTTTATGGTTTTTATGACTTGACGTGCTGTTAAGTGTGTGAGCAAAGTAACATTTATGTAGGGATTCAAGGAAACCGGTTAGCCGGACTCTAGTCTTGGAGGTGGGAAGTACAGTGCCTGCACTCTCGGCACGTCTCTGGCAAGATAGTGATGGACCAAGTGATTAGGGTTTCCCTTTTGGGTCGCCCTGCGTCGGGTTAAAAAAAAAATTGCTAGTTCTTTAGGAATTACGCCTATTCTGTTACTATTTTCATAGGTATGCTTCTCATAAATGGCTGTGAGGATGTTGATTAGTCAAGAGCAATTTAGTCTTTTAGTCTTGATCTGTTTGATTTTTAAGGGTCAATGACACAAAGATCCCTACGAACACGCCGGTATATTAAATAACTTATGCTTTAACAGAATGGGCTTGAGCACAGGACATGGTAATGAGAGTCACAGTCAATGTCAGCCTACAAGCTACACAAGGAGAAGCAGGATTCACCACAGAGGTGTCCATAGGCGAGTTTAATATGCTACAGACGCCTCTGACCATAGAGAGTATAGCCATTCAACTACGTTGAAGGGCGTCGAACATGCCTTATCCTCAATCTGTAGAGAAATATCTCTGCTATGATTCCTTTGGAGATGGCCAGAAACCTGTCTTGCCTTATCTTGCAGTGCTTGCTACTGGTCTATAGGACTTTTACTTTCCCTTTATATAACCCTCCCTGGCAAGGTGTGAGGTGTTATAACAAACGAGTAAACTTCCCAGACGGAATAAAAAACTATATGAATATGTTTATGGTCTATGAATATGTTTAAAGGAGATGTGATAATCACGCATAAGGTCACAAGGATACGTAAGATAAAAGTAGATTTCTTGGTACTTTCAATTGTTAGAATTTCTTTAATAAACCTATATAAAACCTATATGGTCTTACCTGACCAAACCATCTCAAACCCATTATTAGAAGCATTTATGTCACAGTAATGACAGTAATGAAGGCACCGAATTTGCACTCTGGAAAGACGTATGATTAGGGGAATGTAATTAAAGAGTGCAAACAAAAAAAAACACGAATAAGGATATAAATAACGGCCGAAACGTAACTAACAAAGACAAGACTCGCAGCAATGGATTAAAATTTGACAAATTTAATTTATATAGGATATCTGAAGTAATAAGTTAGCAATAGACTTGTAGACGAGTGACAAACTCAAGTAGCGTCACTGGCTAGAGACCTTTGGGTAGTTGGACGCATATTTAAGTGGGTGTGCTTGGGTGCGAGTTAGACCTTCCTAGCATGGAACATTAAAAGGCTTACTACACTACCTTAAGTTTTTATATTTCTATGGACATTTTGAAATATATTCAACGGGATGAGTGATGTGTACAGCAGGGATAATGAGATAGAATATAATGAGGGGGAATCAGGTCCCCAGTGGCCAGCGTAACTGCCTATCTGTTAGTACCTAATCACAGAGCAGGTGGAGCTTGAACCTATATCAGCTGAACCCTAAAATTCATAGGACAGTGCGTTAATCACTCGGCTAGCTGGCTTTTAAGAAAATTCATCTAATTAGGTGTATTTCTATATACCATAGGGAGGTTAATATGGGCCACCACTCTGACGACAAACGCAGGTTTGCAATCGTGTTATTACGATTTCGTGAGTTTAAATGACCTTGTTGTAGCTACAGGAGCGGAGCTATGGTCATGGTGTCCCATCTTCAACGATTTGCCCATTACCTAAAACTTCCGATAGTTGTAACACTTGTCATAACCTTTTATTTCGTTCCACTGGTCCCGGGGAATGAATACTGACAAGCAAGACATTACAACCCTAGTGGGAGATGTGTGAATTTATATTTCCTGGACTATGGATAGTTAGTGGATAAAGACATCTATGTCAAGTTCAGAACATTTATGTTAGGAAACGTTTCGCTATGAGTGACTAAAGACATATGGATAAACTTAGTTATAGAAATGAAAATAAAATGACTAATTCATTGGAGTCCCTAAATTCAATTATAATTATAACTAAACTCTAAACCCACAAGGGTCATACAGCGGTGTCCTAAACTCAAATATTAGCTATAATAAATATTTTAAAATGTACTTGTTACAATGAATGGATTTGTAGTTAATGTACTGGATAAAAAGTTTATAGTTATGTACAGGAGAGTATAAACCCGTAGGGATCATACAGCGCCTAATGGAATGACAGGTAATCAGGTTTGATCCAACGAAAGGGAAGCAAGGCCAAATTCCTTGGATCAAGAGCTCCTCACCGGGGTCAAGGCGGTGTATTAGTTTTATCCTGTATTTGTAGAAGTAAAAATTATTATTATTGTTTGTAAATGGTAGTTACATCAACCCATCGTTACTACGATTTCTGCTGTGTAAATTTATTTAGGTAAAGGTACACAAATATAGGGGCCAGGAACTGTGAACCGAACCCTGCAACCACAACTAGGCGAGTACAGTTACGTACGTACTGAAGACTAGAAATATAACAATATTTATTTCTACAAGTACATGTACAAGGTATACAGACCATAGCTGACATAAATGACATACTAATATATAAAAAGCTCCTTGTTATGCTGAGCATTTCGGACAAATTAGGTCAATTTTGTCCCCAGGATGCGACTCACACCAGTCGACTAACGTCCAGGTACCTATTTTACTGATAGGTAAACATGGACAGCAAGTATCTTAAGACGTGTTTCCTTAATGTTTCCACCCGGACCGGGAATCGAACCACGGACCTCACTGTGAGCCGAGTACTCACCTAATTGTGGTTGCAGGGGTCGAGACTCAGCTCCTGGCCCCGTCTCTTCACTGATCGCTACTAGGTCCTCTCTCTCTGCTTCCTGAGCTTTATCATACCTTTTCTTAAAACTACGTATGGTTCCTGCCTCCACTACTTCACTTGCTAGGCTATTCCACTTCCTGACGACTCTACCAATCATGCATGCTTAATCATATACAATATTAAATTAAGATTCTTGATGGCCGAAAGTAAAAGGAACAGGAAAATATGTGAAAAAAAAAACTTACCTTAGGGTTGTAAGCCATCTTGATGAAGACGAGAAAAAATACGGGTCAGCGGTCAAAACAAACAATACTCATGAAAACATCTCAATACAGAGTACACAAGAAGCTCACAGACGCACCATGAGACACTAAATATAAATCAAAACTTTTAAGTTGGTTGTAGTGCTGGAGGAACTAGAGCTGGTGTGCCCCAGGGTACACAAGATCTCTTGACTGCACCTACAGCGCCACCTGCTGCTACTGCTACAGCGCCACCTGCTGCTACTGCTACAGCGCCACCTGCTGTTGCTAATGTCACCTACTGCTGCTACAGCGCCACCTGCTACTGTTGCTACAGTGCCGCCTGCTGCTGCTAGTGCCACCTGCTGTTGCTGCTACAGTGCCACCTGCTGTTGCTGCTGCTACAGTGCCACCTGCTGTTGCTGCTACAGTGCCACCTGCTGCTGCTGCTACAGTGCCACCTGCTGTTGCTGCTACAGTGCCACCTGCTGCTGCTGCTAACAACCTTACCTCCTCCACCTCCATTATAAGCATAAGCAAGCGCTAAACCCATAAAGGTTATGCAGCACTGGGTTCTACCTTAATCACTATTATAATAAAAAATACAATAAGTATAATAATTTAGAACTAAATTATAATAATCATAACTTAGCGTTAAACCCACAAGGGTTAAACAGTTGTGTGTTAACTAAAATCATCTAGCAATGTCGTATTTGTGTGCAGTTGTGTCCCGAGATCATATTTTTTTTAACAATTATTACAATCAAAATTAAGCGCTAAGTCAGTTTTAAATATTAATTATTACTACTACATTCATGGGGAGCACTAAACCCATATGGGTGATACAGTGCCTGGGGGGGATCGAATGCATTCAGGCTTGATTCAAGGAATTGAACTATTATAATCATGGGGGAGCGCTAAACCCGTAGGATTATACAGCGCATGGGGGGATGGAAGGCATTCAGCTTCACTTCAGGGAACTGGAGCACAGATCCAATTTCCTAGATCAAGAGCCCCCTCACTAGCATCAAGGAACCTCCCTTGAGGGGTATCAAGGAATTGGAGCACTGGTTCAGCTCCTTAGATCAAGAGCCTCTCAATATCGAGGAACCTTCTTTTCGTTTTTTAAATATAAAACAAAAGGTTGTTACATTTTCAGCCTATAGACTATACTTCATGTGTACACCACTCAAGAATACTTACAATAGAAATTCAACTTAAGTGTCAAGATGGATTTGGACGCCTCTTGTATATTCCAGGTATTGCTTAGCTAAGTATGTATCCCCGAAATGGTACCTTATAGTGGTTGCCTCACTTTTCTTCTTCCTCTTAGCTATTATTATTATTATTATAATCAAAAAAGAAGCGCTAAGCCACAAGGGCTATACAGCGCTCTTAGCTATTATTATAGTCAAAACAAAGCACTAAACCCACCAGAGCCATACAGCTCTTGTTCTTAGGCGTTTCTCTATTATAAACTGAGCAATAAACCCATAAGCGTCATTCAGCACTTATTATTATTATTAAATATTCGCCGGTATTCTCCCGGCCCGGGCGTTTTCCAAGTGGTGGCCCGGCCTTGGCTCCCTCTTTAGGGAGTGTCTGAGACCTAAGTCTCCCATGGGAGGAGGCACAAATACCTCCTCATCTTTGGGACCAACTGTCCCCAGGCCTAGCCACAAGCTAGGCCTCTCTGGTCTGTCATCCCCGCACCAAGGAGGCTAATGGGAATGACAGTCTTATGAGCTAAAGGCTCGGGCTCAGGCACCTACCCTACCCTAGAAGGGTTAGGCACGGTATCGATCGTTCCATTCAGCACTGTTTTATAACTTGAGATTATTATTACAATCAAAACTAAGAAGTAAACCTACAAGGGTTATACATCACTGTTATAACTCGAGAATGCTTTATCTGATCAGCTTCAAACTTTCAAGAGTGCATCCTACTAAAATAAGGTTTGGTTTGTTCTTTGACTGTGCAGGTGTCAATTTGCCAACTTTAAATTAAAATTGTATGATAATTTTTCCTGTAAAATTATTTATTTTAAGGAAAGCACTGAAGCCATATGGGTCAAATAGCATTATCACAATCATGCACTAAACCCATATGGGTTAAATAGCATTATCACAATCATGGTGGAAGTGCTAAATCCGTAGGGTCACGCAACGTCTGAGGATTATTGCATTCATGGGAAGAACTAAATCTGTAGGAGCCATACATTGCCTTGGAGAATGGGAGGCAATCAGGTTCGATCTAAGGAAAAGATCAGGTTAAATTCTGGAATCAGAAGGCCCTCACCATTGCCAAGAATCCTTCCTTGGGGGGTAGGGGTCATATAGCACCTGGGGAATGGGAGACATTCGGGTTTAATCCAAGGAAGGGGAGGATAAGTCCGTTATTATAATTATTGTATTCATGGGAAAGTGCTAAACCCATAGGGGTCATACAGTGTCTGGAAGTATGGGAGGCAAAGCAGATCTGAACCAAGGAAAGGGACAACAGGTCCAGTTCCTTGAACCAATAGCCCCTCACAGGAAGGGTGGGGGGAGAAATCCAGTTCCTTGGATAAAGAGCCCCTCACTAAAAGGGTGGGGGAGAAACCCAGTTCCTTGAATCAAGAGCTTCTTACTGGCATCAAGCCATCGATCTCCCTTGAGGGTCTAAAATAACTTAGGAATGATTGTTCTAAATGACTTTAGTCTTTAATTCCTGAAGTATCTTAATAAAAATGATAACTGTGAAAATCAGGCAGGTTCCTAATATATTTAATAAACTTGTAATTATATTACATGCAAGATTTCAGGTACATCTTGCTGCTTCTACTTACACTTAGGTCACATTACACATGCATGTATAAGCATATATATACACACCCCTCTGGGTTTTCTTCTATTTTCTTACTAGTTCTTATTCTTGTTTATTTTTTCTTATCTCCATGGAGAAGTGGAACAGAATTCTTCCTCCATAAGCCATGCGTGTTGTAAGAGGCAACTAAAATGCCAGGGGCATGGGGCTAGTAACCCCTTCTCCTGCATAAATTACTAAATTTAAGAAGAGAAACAATTTTTTTTTTTTTTTTTTTGGGGGGGGGGGGGGGGAGGAACCCTGCCTCAGTGGGATATGGCCGGTTTGTTGAAAGAAGTAATTGTATTGTGTGCAACAACTCAAGCCCCTCAGGGAAGGCTCCTTGATGTTGGTGAGGGGCTCTTGATCTAGGGAACTGGATCTGGTCCAGTTCCCTGAATTGAGTCTGAGTACCTTCCATCACCCCCCCCCCCCACAGGTGCTGTATAATACTTATGGATTCAATGCTCCCCCATGATTATAATAATAATAATAATAGCAACTGAAGCATGTATCTTCTGATCACTTTCAAACTTTTAGCAGTGGTGTGATTTTCTAAAATTAAGCTTTATACTGATTTGCTAGTAACCCCTTCTCCTGTATACATCCAAATTTAAAAAGTGAAACTTTCATTTTTCTTTTTAGGTCACCCTGCCTCAGTGGGATATGGCCAGTTTGTTGAAGAAAAAAAAACTTCAACAACATATGCAGAATTAGCTAACCAAAGAACTGCTTTCAGGAACCTGAACAACTATACATTTAAAACATTATATACAATGTATGTTAGGTCCATACAAGAATATGAGGCACCAGCATAAATATTGCATCTGATCAAGCAAATAAACTAGAGAAAATCCACAGGTCTGCAACCAGGATGGTTCCAGAACAGAGGAAGATGAATTATGAGGAGACTCTTACAAAACTCAAACTGGCAACACTGTTTGAGGATTACATATTATATTAATAAGGAAGTGCTAAACCCACAGGAGTTATATAGCACCTGCAGAATGAGAGGCAATCCTTTGTGATTCAAGGGTAGCTCCAGTTCCTTGGATCAAGAGTCCTTCAACAGCATCCAGCACTGTACCTCCCATGAAGAGGCTAAGTAATTAAGGATTGTCAGATGCTGTTCTGTTAGCCTAATAAACCACTTTACACTCATGGTTGTTATGATTAAGGTTATTTTTATTGCAAGGTCTATTAAGATTTTTGTTAGAATTTGTCCTTAAAAACCTATAATTATTATTACAAAAAAAATACAACAGAAATTGACCACAGTGAACATTTTGGATAACAATAAAAGTACATCAAACTGCATTTCTCAAAACCTACACAGCATTGTACATGGCAACTTGCCCATAGTTGTAATAATTTTAAATATAATATAGGCTTCACAAAATATATACTAATATTTTTATTAAATATACAGGTACTATAATACTGTATTCATATTTGGTAAATGGTCCCAAGCTGTGAAGTGACTGGAGACACGGATGATGGTAATGGTGATAACAGGAATGATAGTGATTAAAATCACAATTCTGCAAGTGGAGCAGGAGCAAGAATGATGGTGATGGGCATGAAAGCATCAGGGGGGTCATTGTGATAATTACTAGGGTAGCAATGACACTGTAAAACAGGAGTCTCGTAGAAATGAATAATCCGATATGTATGGATGAGACCCCAGCCTTCAACAGATTATGGCATCTAGTCTTTATGGCTTGCAGTGACTAGGTAATGCGAGACATAGGTTAACAAGGTCTAGCTCTGCTGCTCTACCTAAAATTAGGCGAGGCAGTACTGGATGTAAAAGATGTCAGAATTGTTCAATCCAGACATGTCCCTTGTGTACTTCAGTACCAAGGGAATCAATTTATTCACCCATTTAGAGAGGTAGGAAAGAGAAGTGTACGTATGCACATGTACTTGCCTATAGTATGTGGTTGCAGGGGTTGGGTTTCAGCTTCTGGCCCTGCCACAAGCTGAGAGCTGTATGCATATGTGTGTATGTAACCCTCGCTACTTTGAGAACTGCTGGGAAGGTGGAGGATTCGATGGATTTGTTAGAGAGTGTTGCAATAATTGGTGACAGTACTTGTGAAACTTTTTCGTACATAAAAAGTGTTATGTATGTATATGCATGTATGGACATAAGTAAAAAAAGATAAACCAAGTGGGTCATTCAGTCCTGGGGAAGGTAATGAGAAATCAATGAGGCCATGGCTTTGGCCAAGGTAAGATTAAGAGCGGAGATTAAACAGGCACTCATAGGACACTCTTGAACCTTATCGTCAAACCAACTGGGTGATTTCCTATTGAGATTCATGTGGGTCTGAAATGCGTCAGAGTAACCGATGTCAGATTAGAAAATTTTATAAACAGAAAGTACATCCTCTAGAGAGTGTGATTATGTGAATTTATTTCCATACTTTTTTTATAGGGTATAAAAAATGAAAATGAATACAGTGGAACCTCGGTTTTCGTACGCCCCAGTTTTCGTAGGATTCAGTTTTCGACGACTTTTTTCATTGAAATTTTGTTCCAGTTTTTGTACCTTTGCTCAGTTTTTGTAGAGTTGAAAATGGTCCATACCAAATGCGTCCGCATGACTCGGCCACTCAAGCGTCCACACAAAGCATCCCATGCATTCGTCACTCAGTCTGCCTTTGTTTCTCGTTGAGTGAGCATCACCCTGCACATTTATCCGAAACATTTCGCAATAATCCATTATTTTTTGTACCTGTTTATTGAGTGCAATTGCTAAATAAACCACCATGGGGCCAAAGAAAGTTCCAAGTGCCAGCCCTTTGATAAAGAAGGCAAGAAACATGATAGAATTCAAGAAAGAACTCGTAGCAAAGTACAAAAGTGGTGTATGCGTGGCCGATCTCGCCAGGATGTACAGGAAGTCCGCATCAATGATCAGTTCCATCCTGGAGAAGAAAACAGAAATCAAGGAAGCTGATGTTGCATAAAGGGTAAATGTGCTAACAAAACAGAGATCACAAACAATCGAAGATGTTGAGAAGTTGTTGGTGTGGATCAATGAAAAACAGTTAGCAGGAGATAGCATTTTGGAGGCAATAATCTGCAAAAAGGCAAGGCAGCTGCATGCAGATCTCGCAAAGAAAATGCCTGGAATGAGTGCTGCTGTTAGTGAACTTAAGGCCAGCAGAGGCTGGTTCGACAAATTCAAGAAGCACACTGGCATACACAGTGTGGTAAGGCATGGCGAGGTTGCAAATTCAGACAAACGTTGGGCCGAAGAATTCGTTGATGAATTCAAGGAGTACATAGAGGCTGAAGGATTCATCCCCCAACAAATCTTCAATTGTGACGAAGTGGGCCTCTTTTGGAAGAAAATGCCAAAGAGGACCTACATCACGCAGAAGGAAAAGGCATTGCTAGGACACAAGCCTATGAAGGATGGGCTAACTCTTTTGTTCTGTGGTAATCCTAGTGGGGATTTCAAAGTGAAGCTTTTACTGGTGTATCACTCTGAAAATCCCCGGGTGTTCAAGAAAAAAATGTCATCAAGAACAAATTGTGTGTGACGTGGAAGGCTAATAATAAGGCATGGGTCACGAGGCAAATTTTCACTGAGTGGGTCAATGAAGTGTTTGGCCTGAGTGTGAATAAATACCTCCTGGAAAATCAATTACCACTCAAGTGCCTCCTGGTAATGGACAATGCTCCTGCTCATCCTTCAGACTTGGAAGACCAATTGTTAGAGTCTAGTTACATCAGAGTGAAGTTCTTGCCCCCTAATACCACTCCTCTCATCCAGCCCATGGACCAGCAGTGTCATGGGGGTTCGGTGAAGGATTTGGATATAATAAACAACCACGTTGGATGACTTGTAGTGTATATTATAGTGTTCTGCAGCTCGTATGGCAAACACTTATCTACACTATACAACACATAATGTGGAGTGTCACCTATAGAAGCACTGTAAGCAGAATTTATTGCACACTGAACATCAGGTATAACTACATCTTAGGTTGCACTATTGGGATTGATGGTGGCTCTCAATACATCAAGTAGTTTCTTATTAGTTCTTTTTGCTAAACCATTACTGGCAGGATGGTGAGGAACAATGGTCAATTTAGAGATCTCGTACAAAGTACACAACTTTTCAGGAATCTCATTACAGAATTCACCTCCATTATCTGTTACTCGGGACTTAGGAGTTGTATGTCTGCAGATTATATGTTCTTCGAGTGCTTTAGCTACTGTCTCGGCAGTCTTATCTGCAATAGGAACTACCTCACAATATCTGGCGAAATGATCTACCATAACACACAGATGTTTGTTGCCCTGGAGGGAACACTGGAAAAAAGTCTTACTCATGGTTCGCTAGTAGTTGGATACACCTGGATTGGATTAGGATCATTAATGTTACCATCATACTGCATGCAGACACTACATTTCTTAACATACTCAGAAATGACAGTTGCCATAAGAGGCCAAAAGCATATCAATCTGGCTTGTTTTACAGAATGATCCATACCAGGGTGTGCAATACCTGGCACATCGTGAACTAGATGTAAGGATACATTCACTAGTGACTGTGGAATTACTAACTGGTATACCTTTTTGCTAGTAGTACCCAGCTCGGCTGTACGATACAGTAATTCTTGGTTCATGACAGCCACTGATGGGTACTGGTGGCTTCACATTGAGAATAAGATCTTCCTGTAGCAGGAATCGAATCACACCAGACCACATGGGATCTGTTCTTTGAGCATTCTTTATATCCTCGGCACTAAATGCTATTACTGCTATTACTGTGCTAACATGTCGCGATAAAGCATCGGCGACTACATTTAACTTGCCGGGTAAGTGTTCAAAAGTAGAGTTGAACTCTTGGATAGTAAAGGACCATCTGGCTAACCTCCTAGTAGGATGTTTATTCTGGAATAAAGGAATCAGTGAAGCACGGTCTGTCAAGACATGAACAGGGTACTGATATATAATGTCTCGGAAGTGCTTTAGAGACCATACTATTGCTAAGGCTTCTTGGTCAGTTACTGTGTAATTACGTTCAGCCTTTGAAAGGACTCGGATAGCAAATGCAACTGTGGTGTACTTGCTATCGGTATTCTGAGCTAGGAGGGCACCTATGCCAATTGAACTAGCATCAGTTATTAGATAGAAAGGCTTAGAAAAATCTGGGAATTTAAAAATTGGGGCAGATGTTAGCTTTTCTGTGAGAGTTTGGAATGCTCCTTCTTGACGGAAGGTCCAAACGAAAGTAGCATCTTTCTTAAGCAACTCAGTTAGAGGAGCTGCTATAAAAGAAAAATTAGCAATGAAGGATCTATAAAAACCTGCTAAGCCCACACAGAATCTTATGGAAAATTTAATACTGCAGTTACTTTACTCTGGTCAGTCATAACTCCTCTAGGAGTGACTACGTGACCAAGAAACTTGATTTCTGATCTTAAAAACTGACATTTAGACAGTTTGATCTTTAAACTGGCCTCTTCAAGCTTACCAAGTACAACATCAAGTCTTTTCAGGTGTGTTTTCACACAAAGGCTGCAGGATGCTGGCTTGGGTGTAGAGGTGGATGGAGTCTGGGTGACTCATGCAACCACACAATGACTCGGCTGGCTTGAGACAAATATTCTTCATACATCAGCTTAAATATCCAATCTTTTCCTGCACTGCTACCACCATTTGTCGTGAGGGTTTGATGGAGGATTTGGATATAATAGACAACCACATTGGATGATTCGTAGCGTATATTAAAGTGTTCTGCAGGAGAACCCAGAGCCTGACCTTGTAGTCTGCTATCACCTTCAACTCCAGTCTCTGACTGACTACTGCCCGGAGCAAGGTAGTTCAAAAGGAGAGGGGACTCATGACGTCATAGCCAGGGAGGCAATGACTCACAGTAACGATTTTAACTGAATATACTACAGCACACAGCACTACTGACAGCAGGTCATTTCAAACTTCAAAAAACTCCCCACCAAAGCACTGTTTCAAACGTGCTTTGAAGTGAACTCGGACACTGAACTGACCCTAAGAGAGTTCTGGAGGAATCACTTCAATATCCTCAATTGCATAAGCCTTATAGATAAGGCTTGGCAGGGAGTGACTTCCTGGACGATGAACTCTGCTTGGAAAAAACTGTGGCCAGAATATGTCCTCGATATAGATTTTGAAGGGTTTGAGGCTGACCCTGACGACCCTACGCCTATTATGGAATCTATTTTGTCCATGGGGTTGGATGTGAGTGGCCAGGATGTGGAAGAGTTGGTGGACAACCACAGGGAAGAGCTAACCACTGAAGAGCTGCAAAACCTTCAACTGGAAGAGCAACAGAGTGCAGCTGAGGAAATTGCTTCAGAGGAGGGGGAGGAAGAGAGAAGGGAGAATGTGCCATCTTCAGTGATTAAGGACATATTTGCAAAGTGGAGTAAGTTGCAAAGTTTTGTGGATAAATATCACCCTAACAAAGCTGTTGTAAGCTGTGTCTGCAGCATGTTCAATGACAATGCCTTGTCCCATTTTAGGCAAATCTTAAAGAGACACTAGAAACGGACCTCACTGGACAGATTTTTTGTGCGACAGGGGTACAGTGACTCTCAAGCTGGTCCTAGTGCCAGTAAAAGACAAAGAAGGTAGGTAACCCTGGATAGGGCCTTGATACCTGAAGTCCTCATGGAAGGGGATTCCCCTTCCAAACAATAACCTCTCCCCCTCCCTCTCCCCTCCTTGCCGTCTTCTATATGCCAACAAGAGTCTTCAATAAAGGTAAAAGTGATGTTAAATGTTCATTTATCCATTTCATTAGTCATTTATATTTATTTCTCATTGTTTTCTGTATGTAAAACTATAGTTATTATCCATAAAATGTATTTTTTTGTTAATATTTTTGGGTGTCTGGAGCGGATTAGTTGGATTTACATTATTTCTTATGGGAAATATTGCTTCAGCTTTCGTATGGTTCGGTTTTCATCAGACTTTTTAGAAGGGATTAATTACGAAAACCGAGGTTCCACTGTATTTGACAATTGAGGAGAATTTTTTCTTCTTTGTTGGTTAATCAATTCTTTGTTGTGTTTACCTGGACACTGCTACATTCAGAGACCTTCTTCCCCACCAGGGTTTATTTTATCCATTAGGCCAAGGTAATTTAAGTTACCGTAACCTACCCAAAGTGAGAATGATATTGTGACATCACAGCTATTGAATAAAAACAAAGCTTATCCCTAGAGGTGTACTTTAAGATAATAATAATACATATATAATCAAACTAAGCACTAAACCTGAAAGGATCATGCAGCACTGTGGGGTGGGTTGTGTTAAAGAAGAAATATGCAGAAATTAAAGACTAGTGTGGGGTATGAATGTGCAAGTGGTAGGGGTAGTGGAGAGGGCTAATGGAGTTAGTGCACTAGGTTAGTTTCTGTTAAAAAGTCAAAGAGGAAGTCTGCATCAAAGGTGGGACTTTCAACAAGGAAGTCAGGTACAGTAAGTGTGTTAGGGTGATATTGGAAGTACATGTATACTTCTAGAATAGTCTTCTTCCATTATATCTGGGTACACTGTACTCATCTAAGCAGTAGGTTGGTAGACAGCAAGCACCCAGGGAGGTACTGCCAAGTGTGTGAAATGGAAGCCTGTTATTGTTTTACATAATGGTAGGATTGCTGGTGTCTATTTTTCTCTGTCTCATAAACATGCAAGATTTCAGGTACGTCTTGCTACTTCTACTTACATTTAGGTCACACTACACATGCATGTACAAGCATAGATATATACACACACACCCCTCTGGGTTTTCTTCTATTTTCTTACTAGTTCTTGTTTATTTCCTCTTATCTTCATGGGGAAGAGGAACAGAATTCTTCCTCCATAAACCATGCGTGTCATAAGAGGTGACTAAAATGCCGGGAGCAAGGGGTTAGTAACCCCTTCTCCTGTATACATTACTAAAGTTAAAAAGAGAAACTTGTTTTTCTTTTTTGGGCTACCCTGCTCAGTAGGATACGGCCAGTTTGTTGAAATAAGACACTGTATCCAGTGAGGGCAAATGTTAAAATGTAATCATTATAAATAAAATTTACTGATAGTGATGAGGAAAAAATAAAGTAATCATTGCAGTGACTGTTAAGCTTATCACAATTCTATTTCAAGACCCACACCCATGAATACTTCTCTAGGGTTAAATAAGTCAATGTAGAAAGTAAGCACTTACTTTGATGGTACAGTGAGCTAGATTGGCAGTACAACACCACAATCCACTACTCTCACTTTTGTAACATCTCGGCAGTTGACCGCTGCCCTCAGCACATCCAGACCAGTCTCCACCTCACCAAAAACATATGACCACTTAACATTATCTGTTTCATCCCTCGTGCTAATGCTGAACCTATACCTCTTGGGACTCAGCTTATCATTCCACTCTGAAACAAGCTCTTTACTGCCTGTGTTATTGTCCAGGGAATGCTTTTCAGTCACTGGTCCCCACCATCGTGACCACACAGCCCCTGCATGGCCTGACTCCTGGTACTTACTCGGCAGTTCAGGCTGCAGCGAGACATTTCCCTTTAGCTCATTATAAATCCCACCTTCAACCCACTCCCCAGGCTGGCCTTTGGCTCCCACTTTTATAAAGCTTGTGTGTTGGTATGTTAGGCCCTGCTGGCCTGTACATAATAACACAAACTGTCTGGCCAGCCCAGTATTGGGGCTCAGTCGAATGTGGATCCGCCCTCTCGACTGTGACCACCACAGGTCAAGAAATGCTAGGGTGGAGGAGGGGTCCAGCATGCCCACAACATCATTGTACTGTATAAAAAAATAAAACATGTTAAATTTTAATATTTTAACTAGTGATCAGATTAATGAATTAACAGTTCATCATATACGTACATATATAGAAACTCAGGAAATCAGTAAATTTCATAATTTCATAAAGACTTATGCATAATGAAGTAACCTGAAGTGTGTAGGCATATCTGGGTGGATACTGTCTTGAGAGTGCATGGAGATACAGCTTTCCATTTTGGAAAATTATCTTTGCAGAGTATGTGACATAGTTTCTTTTCTGGATGGCATATACTTGGCCATTCTCCACCAGCTTCTTGACTGACTTGCACATCTTGCGAAGATGTTCGACCTGTGAACAGTGTCAGTCACATTATCATATATTGTATGGACGGTGTTAGCCCCCTATCACCTATGGATCATGTCAGACACTATCACCTGTGGACAGTCAGTCCCATTAACATATAAGGACAGTGTTAGCCCCATTATCACATACAGACAGTGTCAGCTCCATTATTACATGTGGACAATATCAGTTTCATTATTACCTGCACACATAGTATCAGCTGCATTATCATGCAAATACTGTCAGCTCTATTATCATTAGTCTGGGACACTGTCAGCTCTATTATAAGATGTAGACAGTGTCAGCCACATTGCCACATAAAAGGTGTTGGTCCTGTTATCACCCGTAAGCAGTGACACAATTTAACAGTTGGGCAGTGTTAGCTCCCCTTATTACAGTTAAGGAATGCCAATCCAATTACAATGTGTTATGTTTTATATTTGTATTTCATGAAGCACTAAACCTATATGAGTCATTGCAAGGATCGTGGATGAAGCTCAATCCTCTGTCTGCTAATCAGGGCCCAGTTTCTGCACCCACCACACTATCAATGAACTTATCACTGCGACAATATAAATACCAGCCTTAAAAATAATGGGAATATATGCCGATAAGCATTTCCTTTTGACTCGTATTACAGGCAGAAAGTCCAACTCAAAAGAACCATAAACTTACTTGTAACTGCCTCTGAGAAATTGCAACTGTAATTTCCACAACTTTATCCATGATACTAGAGGCAGAGGCTTCCATATAAACAGGGGCAACTGTAGTGACTTGCTCAACAGTGATCAGGGCCTTCTCAATTGTCTCTCGCACCTGTCATTTCCAACATAAACATTAATGATGCAGACCAAGTCTTTAAAATGACAGAGAGATCAGTAACTACAATTATATCATCTCCAATATCTCCTTGATGGCCTCCTGCACCTGTCATTATTAACACAAAACTTAATAGTGGAGGCAGAGTTTAACCAGTAAACGGTCCAAGCAGATCTACGTTCACATGTGTAGTGCTACAAAAGTAGATCTACGTTTTTTTTACATATTTCCAAATATAAAAAAAAAAAAGTAGATCTACTTTTTTTACATACTTTCAAATGTTGAAAAAACGTATACGTATATACGTTTGGACCGTTTACGGGTTAATAGGTAGATGAGAGCAATTGTGGCACCTGGCTCTAGAGTCATCTCCAAGGTCAACCTCAATGTCTTCTGCAGCCATCATTATCATCACAAACATCAATAGCTAAATCTATCAAATGAATAAGGAATACACAACAAAAGTTTTCATAAAAAAGGTATTAGGAATTTTATCAAGGCTAAATTTTCAGTACTCGCAATATAACTTAGTGAAATGTTTATATAATCATGAGAATAAATACAAATGTTCTTGCAATCACAAAATGAAACTAATGCAATTTAATTAAAGAATAATGAAACCTATTTTGTACATTGAGACTACACTAAATTCTGTGAGTAGTAATTTATTTTAAAGTACATATACACCTACCATCCGACTTACGACCTGCTCGACTTACGACCACTCGACTTACGACCGTGTTTTTTATGCCAAATTTCTGGGAAATAAACAACTATTTGTGTTGTACACAGTGTTTATCCTGAACCTTACAGTATAAAATACAGTACTAATGACATAAAAAGTAAAGTAAAACATGAAATACCAAAATAAAACAATAAAATAAAGTCATTACAAAAATGTTTTGTTGATATTCAGTAGTAAAGTTCGACTTACGACCATTTCGACTTACAACCGGTTTCTCGGAACCGAACTCGGTCGTAAGTCGGATGGTAGATGTATATAAAATGTCGATATTGTAATGTTTTCCTAAAAATACCGTACCTTGGTACTGAGGAATTACTTGGCACAAAGTTAAGGAATAGGCATTCATTAAGGAAGTTAGCAAGTCCCTCCCAATGGCTCTACAGAAAATACTTGATATCACTGAAACTTTGACATTCAACCTACGAGTTACTACCGTCCACCTCGACCCAATAGGGCCACAGTCACCCTCAGCACTCACTTCATGATTAGGGAGAGGAAAAAATTTATACTGAACCTTTTTTAGTTACGTGTACTCTTCTTTCTTACTGCTTAAACTTCGCTTGAGTACAGGTGTTGCACAGGGCCACATCAACCACAATGTTAGGTAAGAAAAACTATTATTTTTGAAGAATTCGGAAATAAAAAAAAATATGGTTGTTGTAGAGGTGTCGTGAAAACAACTCTATTTTCCCTATATGTTCTTCACACTATAAGTCACAATAATAAAGAGGGAATGTGGGGTGAACAAGGGGATAATTCAGAGGTGAGGAGGGATTGTTGAGGTCAGGAGAGGGGGTACAAGAGGCTTTGAATTTTAGGGGCTTGAGCATCCAGGCCTGTGTGTGAATGTCATAGATGTAAGTGGAGACAAGTGGAGTTTAATGGATATGCTACTGGAGTGGGAGCAGGGTAGTTTTTAAGAAGGTATTCAGGGAAAACCAGTTAGCAGGCCTTGAGTCCTAGAGGTGGGAGGGGCAGTGTCTGTACTTTGAAGGATGGGTGGGGATGTTGCAGTTGGGGAAGTAATCCAGCATAGGTACTTTCGGAAAGAATTTGATTGAGTGAATGTTGGTGAATGTGTTTTCTTCTTTGGGTCACCCTGCCTTGGTGGGAGATTGGTGGTGTTAAAAAATAAATAAATAAATAAATAAATAAAATAAAATAAAATAAATAAATAAATAAAATAAATAAATTTCCTCTTATCTCCATAAAGAAGTGGAAAAGAATTCTTCATCTGTAAGCTATGAATGTCATAAGAGGTAACTAAAATGCCAGGAGCAAGAGGCTAGTAACCCCTTCTCCTGTATAAATTACTAAATTTAAAAAGAAAAACTTTGTTTGAAATATCTAATGGCATACCTTAATTGAGGTGTGAACAGCATTGGCATCTGGGAAGAGTTCATGACACTTTTTGAGCCAATCTTCTAATGTTGTATTCCACTGGTCAGCTTTATCTATAGTCATGACCACTTCAGTGGCAGTGTTAGCTGCATCTAGGCACCCTAACATGGCTTGCAGCTGCTGTTTTCCTTTCTCTCCTTCTGCTGCCATGTCCATGACAATAGCATCTTCCTTTTCAAGGAGTTCTATGGCTGCCTTGTTCTGCTCCACCAAAGAATCGAGTCTATCCTGGAATTGGTGGTGCCGA